CACACGGGTGACAGTGCAAGGGCACTTCATTCGGGTCTGTGCTTTCATAGTGAGCTGTTTGAAAAAGCAAGGCGCCGGGTGTGTTCCAAAGTAGGAACTAATGAAAGACGTTTGTGTTGGCCTTTTGAATCAAGCATCAGTGCATGGAACCGACTAGAAGGCTCAGGTGAGACGGTGGAGCAACAAAGCTGAGCATGGCGGGCTGGCAGCCCAGAGCAAGTCCGAGTGGTCTCCTGAGAACCTTTGGACAGAAAGATCCTGCTGTCCCCCCACTGGGTGACGTCATTATTCGCTCAATTTCTGAGCCACCTCTTCCCCTTTGGATGGGTATCCCCTCCTCTCCTGTCCACATCCTCTTCATGTGGGCTCTGGGTACGGCATCCTCACCTGGAGGAAGGTGTCATTCTTCGGTTCTACTTCCTGTCTTTTCCTCTGGAGGAACTCAAACTCAGTGCTAAGGGAGGAGAACCGCCCTCAGACTCTGTACATAGGATTGAAAAGCACAGGTCTGGGCCCTGCTGGAGAGAGCAGGGAGTGAAGAAGAGCAAACCTTCCTCTAAAAATGGGCTTTTGCTCAGAACTGCTTCTAAGTCAGGGGAATTTCCTGAAGTTTGAGAGAGCCAGAGTGAACGTTCTTCTTAAGTTCAGCGTTTTGGTGAAGTCCATGTGTGATATAATACCACTGTAACCACAAAGGAATTTACCACAGGAAGTATCCCAGCTGTTGCTTATTAGCATTAGAACAAATTACACAAAGCAAATTGTTAGCAGACATGTTTCCATAATATTTAACTGGTGGCAATAAATAAGAGAGATTCTCTTTCAAGTAAATGTTAGATTTTCAAAAATCCAGCTTCCAATTGTCCATGAAGGAATCATCTTCGATTAGGGTAACCACGGGAGGGAAGGACTCCTTGGAAGCATGAGGCTCCCAGTGCTCTTCCCTCGACAGCACAGCACAGTGGTTCTGGAAGCCCAGTGGCCGCCTGTGAGTGCAGCGGGGCGTCGGCCCTGAGGTGACATCACAAGATGGAAACAGGAATGATGGCATCTCTAGACGTCTGACCGTCTGCCGGATTCTCCTCTGGGGTTCTCAAGTGGCCTTCTCATGCCACCGGGGATAGAGGACATGGCAAGACCACAGCAGGACTGGGCAACCACTCAGTTCTTGGAGTGTGTTTATGACAAAAAATAATCCACCAACGGGTTTTCACCCCTCTTCTTAACAGAACATTGTGGCTTTACAAAGGTCATCTACTCCCTCACAATCCCATGTTTTGTTGTCTGAGGTTAAAAAAAAAGGTGAGTCCAGTCTCTTCACCCTGTAACCTCGCTAGGGAAGAGCTGAAGAAGTCCCCTGTCAGAACGTTCGTCACTTGCTCACACTTAATGAAAACCTGGCTAGGCAGAAATAAAGCAGAATATTTCCATCTTTCAAGACCCTCCGACAATGACTAAGCTCAAGTCCTTGGTCCCCTCTGGGCATTTCTGATTATCTTCAGAAATATGACAACATTCTCCTTAAGCAATCTCAAAAACTAATTTAAAAATGATTTTAATGGAAAAAAGTTAGAAAGGAAAGATTCCATACAGCAAGTAAATACAAAAATATATTGCAGCTTCAGGGGTTAGGACTGTGAGAGGAGGTGCTCTTTTATCGTTTTCTTAAGAAATTTAGAGTGGTGTCTTCTCTCTCTCTCTCTCGCTGGTTTCCTTCTCAAGCAAACCAACCCTAGCTCAGGACTCCTTCCCAATCGATTTAAATAGCGTATTTGGTTTTGAGGAGCTCTTCATTCTTTCTTCCTGATGAAAGGAGAAAACCTTGGCAGCCCTGCTGAAGAGCAATGGGGGGAGCGAGGTGAACCCTCTGGTGGGCACTAAACAAGGCCCTTAAGATGTCTGTCCCCTCCCCGCGAGGTCCCCGGCTAGGTGTCCCGCCTCAGTCCCAGGGAACCTGGGCTGGCTGGCTCCGCTGGGCTGGTCAGAGCCTGAGGGAAGCTGACGAAAGCCCGGCACCGTCCCCAGCTACCTTCAGGGCGCCCCCTGCTGGCATTAGTGGGGATACCTCGTCCCAAAGGCAGAGAGAAGGTTCTGCCTCCAAGTTCCCGAAGCTGGGGGAGGCATTTTACACCAAGAGAACAAAATAGCTGACACGCTCTCAGCCTCTTCCTTAGGCTCTTCCAACCACTGTGTCAGGACACACACCCACCCACCCACACACACACACACCCTACATTTTTTACCTGATGTCTTCACAAAGGGATCCATGCACTAATGAAATAATTAAAATGAGTTAGGCAATAGAATTGTCCCTAGATTTTTTTTTTTAAGTGTTTAACAGACACGGGTGATTGGAAATGTCTGGACATGAACACACACACACTCACACACTCTAATTTGGAATTATGCAAAACTATGTCATTATTCACTACAACCTGAAGCAAAGCTACGGCAATGGAATAACAAGGACCATGTCTGTACAAGTGTGAGGCTCCCGAAATAAGCTCCCACTTGGACAAGAGTGACACACGTGGCCTGACTCTTTAAGGTCCATTTAGAGGAAATGGCCTGGCATGTTTTACATTTGCTGAGCTATTTAGCTGCTTGGTTCGACAAGATTTTTGAAAGGGGTGAAAATTAATTATCATTGCAGTATTGCTACAATAATTTGGTTGGCTAATTGCATCTCAGTGCAAAAACAGGCAAGGAGGAATTTCCTCCCTGGGTTATTTTCTGATATGGCAGCATTCATTTTAAGAGTAATGAGATTTTTAAAAAGTCAAACCTTAAATATCATGGCTTCAGCAATCTGTCCTGCTTAAAGTTTAATGCAAAATGAGATCGCACCTCCGCGAGAGCAGTTACACGTGAACATGGATCCAGTTTGCTCCAAGGCTTGAGATGATTAAAATCTCTCTCCCCCCGGAAACCTACTCAAAGGATCTCTTTGACATTGTTTGGGGATGACTTGAATCTGGGGGCACCAATGTTCATGCTTTTGTAGTGAGGGAGGCACTGGTGGGGGTGGGTGGGAAGTTGTGAAAGTCTCTCAACGAGGTATATGTATGTTGATGGAAGAGGCAGGACAAGTTTCAGAGGACTGAGCAAAAAAAACAGCTCATCTGGGTTGTTGGGGGGCTTTCTGCCTCTCACCGTTTTCACAGGGCAGTTCTGAGTACATAAACTGGCCAAGGCCTTTTGAGGGGACTTAGCTAACTCCAGACCAGCCACAAATACTAGCAATGAACAAACTTGGAGGGGCAGAGTCATCGGTCACGTTAGAATTCTGGACGACCCCATCTCGAGGCCCGATTCAGGGTAGTACCGTCAGGTGCCCAAAGCAAACCACACTAAGCCCCTCCACAACCTGATGACCGATGACCCAGACTCAGTTTGTGGGCAGGTTTAGGACATCGTCCTCCATCCTGTCTCTGTCTTGTTTTCAGTCCAGCCTCCGTTTGTGTGTCTAAAAAAGGATTTCGCTAGGATTTTTTTTTTTTTCTCTTCTCATCAAAGTGGGTCGTCCTCCTCTAAGTTCTAACTGATTTATAGAAGATCAATATGCAAATCTAGCTTGGCTGGCCCCAAGGGTGAACATCTGTCCTGCGCAAGGGCACCTGGTTGAGGGGGAAGGGGAGGAAATCCCCCCTTCTCTGTTCATCGCCTGAGACCACCCTCCTGCCCGCCCCCACATCCCAGAGCAAGGTGTGCTTTTTCTAATTTGCACTTGGACCCAGGGAGGCCCTGAGTTTTCCTTGATCCTCACCCTCCCAGAGATTGCGGAATCTAGTCTTCATCTCCTCACCTCCAACCGGACACTGTAGATGTTTTTAAGGGAGAGGATATACCCATGGCAAAGGTGAATTCATTTTGTAAATATGTTTCCTCTTCAGCGTGGGAGGATGAATAAAAGAGAGAGGGAAAGAGAGAAAGGAGAAGGATAAAAAGAAGAATGGAGATGAGGTTGCCCTCTGCCTCGTAAATCGGGGACTCATCATCGTCCTTCCTTGGACACAGCTGCAAAGGGGTAAAAAATCAATTTTTTCCTATTACTCCACGGTGAGGAGGGAAAACCTATTTGTAAATGGAATTAAATCCAATGAGAGCATGTCTGTGTATTTGTTGAGAGCTAGAAAAATTAGCCAGCGGTACAACTACATAATCCAGCAACGTAACGAGAAATCAACACTCTCCCATTTCAAAGCTTATCTGAGACATTTTTCTTCTTTTTTAAAGAAACACCCATGGCTAAATGTCAGTAAGACTCTTCAGTGCGCCAACACGTCAACACCCCAGTGAGGACTCTGAAAGGGAGGGAACTCCAAAGCCCCATCTGGGAGGAACATACTCCTAAATTTTTGCCTTTGCTGCTTGTGCATCTCAGTCAGTCAATAATGACTGGATATGAACTAGAACGTTCTAGAAGATAGTTTCTTCCCCATGTTGCAATCTGTGGTGCTGACTGTGGAAGAAATTCCCCATATCTGTGTAGGCTAGATCTAGTCCACAGAGACCCTAACCCGCCCAGTGAGTACTAAATCATCAGGCTGCTGCTGGGAGGGTCTTGAAACTTCATTAGCAGTCTGCCCTCTAGTGGGACAACACAGTACTTCAATTAACTCGGAATAGAAAAGATTTTTTTCTTCTTCTCTTTCAGAGAGCAAAAGAATTCAAGTTTTCCAGATAGTGCAAGGTGAGGAGGCATGTTTCCTCAGAAGACAGCTTCCAGAGCTGAATTAAGAAAGGCTCACAATGACAGGTCCCCTGGGGCAGAGTTAGAAACGTTTACAACGGGTGGTGCTATGGTGGAGTTCCCGTAGAGACAAAGGTCTTTCTTCTCACATCCGTGGAACCCTCCAGGGTTCTCCTTGGGCAGTAGCATTGGGGTCCCTGATCTCTCATCATAAAGACAGGACCCCTACTCACAGCAACCGACCTACCAGGAATGCTAAAATAATAGGCTTTTCCATTAATTTTTGGCAAATCATTAACACAGAGGAGCCTTTCGAAAGGGCCATGTTGAATTTTTTAAAAGGCAGAGATGCACAAGTTTTAGAAAAAGACCCAGTCTTTGTGGATGTTATTTTTCAGGAGAGAAGCCATTTTGTGATGGCGGCTGGATGTTGGTAAGGCAGAAGACGATCCTGAGACCTGCTTGTCTGGACTTCGCTTCCATCTTTTGAGAAACCTTCAGAATTTGGCTTGCTTCAGTTTATCGATATGGTAGCAGAGTTTCAGTGCGGGTCCCAGCTTCAGACCCAAGTACTTCATGATCATATCACTCTTCAGCAACAAGAGAGCATTGCCATCAATCTCCTGGTGGGACAGGATCAGAAACAAGAAAATCCAGATAATGGTGAGATCGATCAGACAGTGGCTACGGTTAACATGGGGTCAGGGCACGAGGTAAGGGAATATGGGTTCACTCAGGCACACATTCTCTTAGTCCCAAGGCAATATCTTCTTTTAAAAAATAAATTAAAGCAAAAAGATACGATTTGTTCCTCTTCCCATACTCTCCCTGAGGTCATATGACACTGGATCTTTCAAATTCCTACTCCCCTGATTGAAGGAGCCAAACATAAACCCAGTTTTGTTCCCAATAGCCCCCATGTGATATTTCTCTCCTTATCTGCTCTAGGGCTAAAGGAGCAAAAAGTTTGCAGTGGACTTAATGTTTGTGTCCCCCACCCAAATTCAAATGTTGAAATCCTAACCCCCGATGGTATGGTATTTGGAGGTGGGGACTTTGGGAGGCAATGAGGTCATGATGGTGGAGCCCTCAGGAACAGGATTAGTATTCTTCTACAGCAAGATGGCAGTCTGCAACTCAGAAGGGGGCTTCTCGTCCTGACCTTGGACTTGCAGCCTCCTGAGCTGAGGAATACATTGCTCTCGTTCCTAAGCCAGCCGGTCTGTGGCATTTTGTTACAGCAGCCGGAACAGACTAAGACAAAGTGTCATCCATCAGTTAGACCCAGAAACTAGCAGTTACCCCTCCATTTCAGGTGCTGGTATGAGGCCCTGGTATTCTGTCCATCACCCTAATCTCTTGCTTCTTTCCTTGGTAGTAAGCCCACCGACCTTGAGCTGATTACCAAATTGCTAATTACACTTGACGAGGGATTTTAGGTGTTTGGCCCTGTTAACAATACCGGGGGCATACAAGTAAATAATGCACCTGCTTCATCTCAGGGTTTAGCAAAAAGAACTACTAAGGGGATGCCAACCTCAAGGGTGAGGTCATGGTATTGTTTCCCATTTGTCTCTGAAAATGGTAACCCTCCAGAATGCTTGTAGAATTCGCGAACCTAGTAATGCTCGGTTTTCTCGCTCAGCTACATTGTTATCTTCAGGTCACAAGAGACAAAGAGAGTTTGAGTGCTCAGACTGGGGAAAGAGGCAGTTACAGGAGTCATACAGCTGAGGACCCCCGCCCTTCTCGTGCATCCAGCCAGCCAGCCAGAAGCATCCACTCCAGATCACTCACTCTCTGTCGCTGGCAAAATGGCAGAGTGGACAAATTCTCATCCTTGGGCCTAATCTTCTCTCTTACCCCATCTCCTGGCCTTCCACCATGCCCTACAACTCTGGAAGAGAGCCAGACTGCTCCCACTCAGATCCCGCTCAACATAACCCACTCTGGGATCCTTGCTGTCAAGGCCTGGCTGTCCAGTGAGCTCAAATACACCCTCATGAAATGTGAGTGTCGGGTGAGAGGAGGAGTCTCCCCAGATCTGAGAATACGGTTTCTATGACGGAATCACCAAATCAAAGTGAGAGACAGGAGAATATCATGGTAACTGGGCTTGGCCAGAAATGACGCTCCCTCTCCTCCCCACCCAAGACGTCTCCAGCCTGTCCCCTGGACCTGGGAGGATGTTAAGTTACCCTAGCAAAAGGGAATTAAGGTTGCTAAAGAGCTGGCTTAAAAAATAGGGGGAGTATTCTGGATTGCTGGGTGGGAGAGCCAGTTGTAATCACCAGGATCCCTAAAAGTGGAAGAAGAAATCAGAAGAGAGCACGGGAGCTGGCCGCCGGGGAAGGACTCGCCTGAGGCTGCTGCACTGGAGGACGAGGGCCGAGCCATCCAGATGTTGGAAAAGGCAGGGAAGCGAATTCTCCCTAGAGTTTCCAGAAAGGAACCGTCAGCCCTGCAGACGCCTTGACCTCAGCCCACTGAGAGCCCGGCCAGACTTGTGACCCTCCGAACCGGAAGATAATAAACCTGTGTTGTTCTAAGCTAGATGTGTGCGGTACCCGGGGAGAACAGCAATAAAGGGCTGACATCGGGAGCGGATTAAGATGGCTCCTGCAGCAGTAATTATTACCTGGTCCCCCCCCCGCAATTTACCACTTTATATATTTCAGACTCTCCTAGTTTTAAGAGTCCGTGCCAACTGAAGGCTAACTATAAGCGGGGCACCGTGCTCAAGCCCTGACATGCATTTTCTCATTGAATCCTCCCGGCGGCTCAGGAATCGGCGCTATCCCGGTGCCGGGGCACACTGTAGGTGTGCTATAAATGTTTGTGAATGCACAGACAGATGGATGGATGGGCAGGAAAACAGGTATACTTAATAAAGGCCAAAAGGAGGGAACAGATGGGAGAAATATCCCTTCTTAAAAACAAAACTAAGTGGTTGTTCTGCTCTGAGAAGCCTGTGGCTCCATCTGGCCTCCCTCTGAGCGGAGCCCGGGCGCTGGGTTTAGCCCACCCGCTCCTGCAGCCCTGGCTCCCTGACCCTCCGCCTTCCTTCGTCCCTCCCCCAGCCCTCCCGCCCTCTCTGGGGCCAGCCCCCCACCATACCCCCCCACCCTGCCCGCCCCGCGCCTACGTGCTTTCTGAAGAGCTCCACGTGTGGACCCAGAGCCTGCGGGTCAGCGTCTTTCACGAACCAGACCACATCCTCCACAGTCCAGGTGGAAGGGTTCCTGCTCCGTGGCTGCCTGGCGTCTGGCCCGTTGGGGGAAGGGCTCGAGGCTGGATGGGTGGACAGAGAAGAGCATGAGACAAGGGGACGAGGGCCTCCCTGCCTCCCTGGGCGGCCTGCCCGCGCCCCCCACCCCATCCCGGCCTGAGTGATCTTCTGCGACAGAGAAAGGCTGGGAGCGGCTCGTGGGGAGCCTGGAGCACTGGGAGGCCACTTCTAGAAGCAAAGGCTCCATCTGGGCAAAAGCCCTCTGTCCTCCCAGGGAGTAACGTGCTAGAAAATAGATCTCCTTCAGCAGGCTGACATTCTGAGCCACGTTCAAGTTTTAAAAACCCCTCCTGCCAGCCCTATCTCAGGGAGCCCTGGACCTCCTGCAGCTGGGTCCCTTGGTGACCAGATAAAGCTTGCCAAGATCAACATCCTGCTGGGCCCTATAGTGCTGGAGGTCCCAAATGAATGCAGATCCCCTCTGCCCCCGCTGGGGACACCGAGACAATAGAGACATGGCAGAACTGAGGTGCATTTGGGTGTGTGTTCGGGGTCTCTGCCACCAAAGCTTGGACCCCCTGTCTGTGAGGGCCACGGGCAGAAAGTAGACGTGGTCTTACCACTCTGGGCGTGCCCCGCGTGCCTTCACAAACCCCTGCTCTTCAGAGCGCTTGTTCCAATCTACCCCACCAGCTGGGGGAACCCCTCGACAGCACAGGGCCTACTCCCGTGCCTGATACATAGCTGGTCCTCGATAAATGATGACTGTGCGAGCTGCACCGATGGGACAATGCATCTCCCAGACGGCAGGTTAAAAGGTACGGGATGAGTGGAGTGGAGTGAATCAGATGCCGAGCACTATTTAGGGACTCTTTCTGGTATGTCCCAGACTAACTCATCCTCCTTTCTCCGCACCAGCTTCTCCTCCAGCCCCTCAGGTTTCTGGAACCATAGTGACGTCTCTACTGCTACCTCTGTCTCTAGCATCCCTAAGTCAGTCCCCACAGTGAATTATTCTAAAACTCTTAGAAGGATGCCTCTCACCCCAGATCCTCCCTTGTATCCTGCTTCCCCTAGCTGGAAACTTCTTACCAAACCACTGCAACCGTTTCCTGTGGGCATCCTTGCCCTGGGATCTCTTTCTTCCAGAGCACACCTGTGTACTGCCTCAACGCTTTCCCCAGACCCGGCTCTGTCTGTGCCCCTTATGAATGTCCCTAGCCTATGTGCTGGCTCCAGAGTGCACACTCTAGCTCAAGGTCAAGGACTCTCTTTGGTCTTAATAATTTCTTTCCTTCTGAGACAGAGGGGAAGAGCTTTGGTGCCAGAGAGACCTAGGGACAAGTGCTGGAGCGCCCATTGCTAGCAATTTGACCATGACTCAGCTCATTAACTGTAAAGTGGCAACGCTGTCCTCCAGGAAGGGCAAGTGTCAGGACTGGAATGGGATCAGGCATGGTCCTAGAGCTCTTGTGCATCATGTGCTCCCCAAAGGGAAGGAGGCGCCCGGTGCCCTCATGCACCCTCCCATCCAGGCACACCCACCACATATCTCCCCGGCTTCCCTTCTCCATCTTTAGCTGGTGCTTTTTGCTTCCCTCTAGAAGCATTTACACTCCCGCCTTTCCACAGACATTCCACCAGCCATCAAAGCCCAGGCCGACCCTTCCCAGGCAGCATGTCTGTGTCCTGCCATCTGGATGTGCCCTTCCTCTGCTTCTAACCACCACACCTTTGTTCTAAGATGCTTTCCACAATTGCCTTATACTGCACGTGTGCATGTCTGTAACCTCCAGTTAGGTTCAAGTTTCTTGAGGATGATAATTTTCATCTTCCCCAACCCCATCCCTACCCCATTCATTCCAGAAACATCTACTGAGCATCTCTTCTCTGCCAGGTCCGGGGCAAAGTGGTAAAAAACGGGACCCTCTCATTACAGGGTTTATAATCACTGACTCCTCCTCAGTTCTAAGTAAATGTGCTGGTAAATACGGGTTCGATATACTTTGTGGAAACAGTATAAATAACTCATTCAAAAGCCTTGAGCAGGTAATTCTTAATCCTATTTTCAGGCCAGAAGAAAGCGGAAGCTCTGAACAATGAAGTGGTTTCCCTACAGAATAATTCCACGTCCAGACGCTTCGGCTTCCATTTCCCTCCTCCAGTCCCAGGGTGTGGTGGTTCCCTGCTGTCTCTTTCTTGCTCCTCTTTTTAGTGCGCTGGAGAAGGGCTCGGTTCTCCATCAGTGCTGAGCGAAGTACGGCATCGCATTTCCAAGTCTGCCCTAAAATCATAATGGTTTGCTCGAGGATTGGATTTACTTTGGGATTTCCCCTGCCTTTTCCTTGCTGGACCTGGAAGGGTCCCCTAAGGTGGGTTGGCACGGGGCATTTTGCCGGGAAACTGTTAAGGCACCCTGGGGCCGTCTGAATGCTGATGCATGCTTATTAGAGTTGATTTCACTGCACTTAAAGACATCTGCACGCAACATGGAGATGAATCACGGAAACCACGGAAATCGCATTCGCCTCGGAATCCGCCCCATTGGAGCTTCGGCGTTAATTGCGGTGATAATAGATGTTCTGATTACAAAGGCTGGAAGTCTTTCGGTGCCAAGAATGATTTTAGAGTGATCAGAGCAGAGGTCAAATCGAGTTTCCTGTATCTGATAGAAAAAGGGAGAACCCCAGACTGATTCAGGGCACTGTCCTGGGGAGCCTAAGCTCCTCGAGCAAGGTCAGGGCACTCCTTTGCCAGGGGCCCCTTTGGGGGCGGCAGGATGCTGAGCAAGAGGGTGGGGGGGGGCTTGTCTTTACTGAGGAGGCTCTCCAGTGCTGGCTGTGGAGGGAGGCAGACCAGTTGGAAAGTGGCTCCACTCCTGGTGCCCGGTGTTTGCTGTGGGCGTTTTTCACTTTTCCAGGATGGAATGGCAGCAGCCGGGCCTGGCTTGGGAGCCTGGCCGAGGGGGGCCTCTTAGTCATACAAGACTGAGAGCATCAGGAAGCCTGTCACACCTCAGGAGTCGCTCAAGACCCAAAGCACATAAGGTCGCTGTAGAAGGAAGAGAAATGGAACTTTCCAGAGGCAACTTTGTAAAGCCTTTGCAGTGGTGTGTGCTCACAAAGATAATAAATATGCTAGCCCCCCACTTCCCCCCTTCAGTGGATGTGAAGGTGTCAGGAAGACAGATGGGTCTGGCCTGACACAGCCGGGCCAGGCAGAGGAGACTGGACAGCAGTGAAAAGAATGTGAAAAAAATCTCGCTCCTAAAGGCCCAGGTCATGCAGAGTGCTCACCAAAGGCCCTTCTGGGAAGGCAGCATTCTCCAGCTCAGGGCACTCTGTGTGTGTCGTGTGCCTTCCCTGGAGCTGCCGGAGACAGTGAAGAGGGAAACCCAGTTGTGACTGGGTATATAATTAAAGATGGCGGCGGTTGTTTCTAAAGTTGTTCCACATGCACCAGGGACAGAATGCCTGTGCGTCAGTGCTTAGAGCAACCTCTGGCATTGTCACAGCCCAGGTCCTCGCACTGCTGCCTGTTGAGTCTCTGTGTCTCACACATGCCCACAACCACATACATAATCTCCTTTTGCTCATTCATCATTCAAAGAAAAATTCTTCCCCCAGGATGAAGGAGCCCTTGCCAAGCCTTCGCTCACTTCAGCCCCTTCCCATGGAGTGTGGGCCCCATTCTCCTTTTTCTGACTGGGTGGTCAGTCTCTCTGTCCATCACCCAACACCTCACCCCCGAAGAAGCAAACTCTAATCCACAGGAAGCATTTGGGTGGCAATAACAATGTCATATTTACTTCCTTTCTTGATTCTGAAGCTTGGACTAATTGTGGTTGGGAATTCTATAACATGGCCTATTTAATGCAAAAGTTAGGAAGCTTTTGTTATCTGAAAACCTTATAGCTCTTGGTGCTTATATCTAGGATGAGAGACGGGGAAGAGCTTTCAAATTTTTACCCAAGTATCAGGAAAAACCAGGGAGATGTCAATATGTCCCCTCAGAGCTCACTGGCAGAGGCCATAGGTAGCAGGAGGCCAGGGTGAGTCCTCATGGTTTGTCATGTCATCCATGCCTACCCTCCTGCCTGCAGCCCCATGCAGTTTTCTGGCTTCTGTGTTTTAAACCATTTTGATTATCACCACAGGGGAAAATCCATTTTTAGGTCCCTTCTAGGGCTTATGACTCAGGTCAAACCCTCCTGAAGAGGTACAGTTTCTTACCACCAACTACTTACACCTGGGATGCAATTCCAGAGCAAAGATGGAGCAGTTCCTTGGGTGGAGGGAAAACATACTAAGCCTCCAGAGGGCCCACAGCAAGGACCCAGCCTGATAGGTGACAAATGGGCAAGGAGGCCAATGACTCAATTCAGCACGGCTTATCTCTATGGATTCCAAATGTGTTTAACTGTGCAAACTTGGTTCAAGCAAAGCATCTGTAGAACCCCAGTATGCAAAAGTGAAGAGGTCCTGGTTGGGGGGGGTAGTGCTGGAATCCTCTCTGTTCCCATCCCCCCTTCCCTAGCCCCTAAAGCCTCAGAGGGATTCCTTGAAGCCCACTGAACATAGTTTGAAAATCCCTGGGGTAATTTTGAAAGACGCAGGCTTTGGAACCAGTTAAAGTAAAATCCTGGCTTAACACTTGAATTTTATCTTGATCTTCACTTTCTTTATCTGTATTGTATATAATACCTACTATGATAATATATACATACTATAATAATAAATTGTAAAATATAACTTATAGGAAGTCATAAATAATGTATGGAAAGTGTCTGGCTCATATTTACTAAATAGCTATTTAGTAAATGCCTCAAACAAGCAGTCCCCTTTTCTGGGACTGTGGAGGACGGAGAGATGAGCGAGGGACCTCACGAAGCTGAGGGTCTGGTTCCTGTTGTGGGACAAGAAGGAGGACATGCTAGAGATAAGGGAACAAAGTGCTACAGAAGGATATCGACGGAATGAGTATTTTTAATTGGGAGGTGTGGATGAGACTGTCGATTGTCTCCCCAATATCTTTTTTCCACTTCTTTTGTAACAGAATCCCCGATTTCCAGCTGGGATCATGTTGCTTAGAATAAAACCATATTTCCCAGTTTCCCTTGCAGCTGGTGGTCACGTGACTATGTTCCGGCCAGTGAGATGTAAGCAGAGCGGAACCCTGTTTCAGAGAGGTCGGCACTGCCCTCCATCCCCTTATTCTCCCCATCCCCTTCCTTCACCTTGATGCTAGAACGAGCATAGCTGGCTGGCTTTCTGGTATCTGTGGTTCCATTTAACATACTGGTTAAAGGAATCCTTGGAGCATTTGAGAGTTAGTGTACCTACAAAGGGCGAATACTTTTATTTTTCTTCAGTGTAACACAGAAGCTCAACAATGGACTTCAGCTGCTACAACCTGCAGCCGCTTTACTCTGAGGAAGCTGTGATTTTTTAATATCCCACAGTCCAGAGGGGTCCTGCTAATTATGAACCACTCTGATTTGCTGGGTATCAAAGTTCCCACTAATATTTCTAAGTTGTTTAAGAGACAGCCAGTATTCAGGATATAGTTACTGATTTGCTTGGAGTGGAAAGTAGCAGGTGGGCTCCATCTCTCTGATTTTACCTGAGCCCTGAGTGGGGCTTTCTCAGGGAGCAACCTGAGCTCCAACAAAAAGGGCTCTCTCTCAGAGCTGATTCCTGGGGAGAGTCTGGGCCTCTCCTCAAGGAAGACTCCTCAGATAGCTAACCAGGGTGTCATTCCAGGAGAACAAAGGGCTGAGGTAGGGATGAATATGAAAGACAAGAGGGTTGTTGAAGCTGGGATGGGAGGGAAACTACCTTGAGATCCTTTTCAGGGGGTCCAAGATTCCCCTCATCTGGGGGTACCAGATAGACCGGAATGGAGCAGACAATTATTCACCTAGTGATAGAAGTTCTCTTCATCGAAATCGTGCCTTCTTCTTACTGCTTGAATCCTACATGTAGGACCTAAGGCTTGATACTCCACCAACTTGAATGGAAGAGAGAGTAAATACCTCCTTTTGAAAAAGTGTTAACATTCTTAGGATTATGAGTCAATTCAATCAGGTGATGTCCTATGATCACTGCCCTGAGAAAATGGGAACTGGGTTGAGGAGAAGAGGTGGAGAGGAAGGACACGTGAAGGGCAGAGGGAGACCAAGATGAGGGTTTTGACAACCAGGGGCAAACCGTGAGGGCACTGGCATCATGATAGGGGCACAGAGATAATGAACGTTTACTGAACTACTCTATACCAGATGTTACAAACTCTGGGGACAAGCCTAGGAAACAGCCGGGGCCCCTCCTTTACATTCCAATGTTGATTTGTGCCGGATCTTGTTCTCTTCTCTTGTTCTTAAAAATCAGGTGGAAAGTGTCTCTCCTCTTTGGAAAATGGGCTCTGTCCAGTCAAATCTTGCCTAGCTGATGGCTCTATCTGATAACGTTGGGAAGTAGTCTGCAGGACGCCTCTACATTTGCCAAGAGCCCCCATGGCTGAGAGATTCTGCGCTCTGCCCCCCAAACTGCCTTTCCTTCCAGCATTTCCTGCACACCTTTCTATCCTCAGCCAGGAGAGGCTTGCGCAGGATGGGGAGGTTCTTGAGGGGAGCACATGAAGGATGTTGGACTATACAAAACAGCTCTTCACTGTGGCTTCTCAGGGCTACTGGTAGAGAGAGCTGCGACTCAGAACAAAGATGTGGCTCACCAGGGAAGACAGCCAACCCACTTGGAGGCTCCAGAAGGCAAGATGGAGACTCCTGACTCCTCCTTGGCCTGAGGCCTCCTCTCTTCGGCAGTTTTCAGGCGCAGAGCTGCTGGGCTGTGGTGTCTTGAGAGGTGTGCTCACATGATCTGTGACTGCTAATGTTTATTGAGCTCTTACCATGTGTACGTCTTGCACTAAATACACATATGAACTTATTTAATCCTCCCAACAAACCTATGAGGTAGATGCTATTGTTATCATTCCAATTTTACAGGTGAGGAAACTGAGGCACAGAGCAGTCCAGACTTGCAGAAGGTCATAAGGTCGGGAAGTGGTGGGTCCAGGATTCCAGCCCAGTGCATCTGGTTCCACAGTCCACGTGATTATCTACTATGCTCTACAGCCTTTGTTCATTAATGCAATACTGAAGCTTGAAAATGATTTTTTAAAAAACCATAATCCATAATGGATACCAAGCTACCCCTAGAATGAGAGCCCTTTTGTGCACTGCATCCCAACGAGGGATCTTTAACGGATGAGACTGAAGCTCATTCTGTCTAATGAAACCAGAGACAGATTATAACCAGCATTGTAGAAATGTGTAACTCTGACTCTGCCCATGTATTTGTATGCTGCAAAGGTCACCCACCAAACAAGAGACGATGCTTTACTGACATCTCATCTTCTTTTTCCTGGCATAGCGTTGATCTACACCTTTCAGATTCCCTTAGAGTTAAGTGTGGCAAAATGGCCAGTTCTTGCCAATGAAATATGAGCGGAAGTGACATGCATCGTTTCCGGGCTCCAGGGAAGTGTGTGCCTTCCGTACTCACTCTTTCCCTTTCTACTCACTGGGTGCTGGAGGCACGGAGACCACAGGGGCTAGCTGGGCCACAAAATGGACAAAGCCTGAGTCCCTGAATTGGGGTGCATCTACCAACTGAGAACACCACCTTGGACTCTTGAACAATAAATGAATTTCTATTGCATTTGAACCACTGTACATTTTGGAGTCTACTTACTCCTACAGCCTAGCCTACTCTAATACACCACTTTCCTAAAAAAAATACTGTGGTCAAAGGTTGAAGTTAGCTGCCTTTAAGAACAACAAAAACCCATGAAGGGCTTCTGATTTCCTAGTGTTCCCGTGTTCAGACAGCATGGTTTCCCTCCCCTCCCCACCCCCACCCCCTACATGCAGTGATCCCAGAGCAATGGCCGAGTAGGTTAAAACATGGGGAAGCCAGAACATGCATTACATTACCACATCTGTTTCCTTCGAGAGAGGTCCCGTTTCTCTTGGGGCTGGAGCCTGGGGGCCTCAGCCCAGGTGCCAAGGGGCCTCCAGAGGACATGGGGCTGGAACGGGGACCATTGGCAGTGGTGGCCAGGCCTCCCCCAAGATGGCCATCTCCAGAGTTCTGCCTCTTGCAGTACAGCGAGGAGGAGGTGGGGAAGGAGCCCCTGTGGCTAAAGGCGGAGGTGGAGGGGTCCACGCTGTAGCGGTTCATGCCTACAGGGTTCGCCAGGCACTCCTCAGTGGTGGCTGTTTTTGCTAAGCAAGAAGGCAGGACAGAGAAGCAGAGATCAGAGAGCAAGCCAAGAGGCTACCTGACAGTCTTGGCAAATGTTTCCCCTGCAGCACCAGTGCCACTATCTGTGGGGATGAGAGATGAGGAAGAATGGACCCCACATCATAATCCCAAATAGTTCACCTCTCAACAGATTAAGACACTTGCCTCACCAACAAAGCATATTATAGTAGGGATGAGAGATGTGCCCCTCTCTGTTCAGAGGAAAAAAGAGATTATTCTGGCTATTGATGACTTGAAAGTAAAATTCAAAGGTCTTTTTCCTTTCATGGTGTTGCCCCTCCAGCAGTCTCTACCAGCTTGTCTGAATCTCCCTGCTCTCTTTTCTCTTTGCCCACCAACACTGCCCTCCTCACCCAGCCTGGGATGCTTGAGAGCTCAGACAGGAGTCACAATGTCCCTGAGATAACAATCTGATCTGGGTGGTGACACAAGGGCAATGGTACTTCCTCCCCACCTTCAGTCTCAAAACACATGAGGGTACTGCCCTTCCTCCAAAGCTAATAAACTGGGGAAACCAATGCTGATCTGGTCATCCCTACAGTTGTGATAACGTTGGTTATCACATATCCATAAAGGTAAAACTTCTGTGCTTTGAAAGATAGCATCAAAAAAGTGAAGAGATTACCCACAGAATGGGAGAAAATACTTACAAATCATATATCTCATCAGGGACTTGTTTCCAGAGTAACTCAATAAATGTCAATAAAAAGACAACCTAATTTAAAGATGGACAAAGAACTTGATGAGATCTTTCTCCAAAGAAGATATACAAATGGCCAATAAACACACAAAAACATGTTCCCCAATATTAGTCATTGGGGAATGCAAATCAAAACCACAAAGAAGGAGAACTTCCTACTCACTAGGATGATTACAATAAAAAGTCAGATAATAATAAGTGTCGATGATGCTGTAGAGAGAGTGGAACCCTCATACACAGCTGGTGCGAATGTAAAATGGTTCAAACTAGAGTCACTCTACAACCCAGCAATTCCACTCCAAGGTATTTACCCGAGAGAAATAAAAACATACATCCACACAAAAATTGGCACATGAATATTTACAGAAGCACTATTCATAATAGCCCAAAGGTGGAACTAACCCAAAAGGCAATCAACTGATGAATGGATCCCCAAAATGAGGCATATCCACACAATGGACTATTATTTGGGCATAAAAAGAAATGAATACTGATACTGCAACAGTGTGAATGAGCCTTGAAATATTCTGCTAAGTGAAAGAATCCAATCACAAAAGGCCACAGATGAAGTGATTCTACTTCTATGAAATGTCTGGGATAGGCAACTCTATAGAGACCAAAAGTAGATTAGTGGTTGCTGAGGGCAGGAGAGGTGGCGGGGTGTGGAGAGAGTGCTAGCTAATGGGTATGGGCTTTCTGAGGTGTTGAAAGTGTTCTGCCATTGTGGCTGCACATTTCTGTGAATATACTAAAAGCCACTATGTTGCATTCTTGTACAATCTATGAATTATACATCTCAATAAAGCTATTTTAATAATTCATTGCCAAAGTCTGGTATTAGGTGTGAACACATTCTCAAGAGTGTTGTTACACAGGCAAGCCTGGCCACCACGGCTCTGGCCACCATGACACAAGCCAGCTGGGTGGCCTCAGTGTACACATGCTCTGTGCTTTCTGCTTCGTGGCCAGTGGAGGGCTGCAAGATGTCTTCAGGAAGCTGGAACTCCACACCTTCACACGGATGACCTCTACTGAATCTCTTCCGCCTGAATCAGAAGACAGCAGTAGGAAGATTCAAAAAAGGACCAGGCTACAGAGCTATGTACGAGGCTGCCTCCTGAATGGAGTGAGGAAGAAGAAGACAAACACTGAGCACCTACTATGGGCTAGCACCAATCCAAGCCAGTTAGCAGTAAAGCTGTCATTATATTCCTTTTATTGGAATGTTCTCAGTATCTGAGCTACTAATCCTTTCTGTGTCCCTAATGGCAGGTGCCTTGGTATATGTGAGGAAGCTACTCGTAGTGTCTGGCATACAGAAGGCACTCAATAAATATTTATTGAGTAGACATTTGGGCCACTGTTAGCAGTGAGGCAGCCAGCCATTACACAGAATACACATTACAATACAGATTCAAAGGTCTATATATAAATTAGTCATGTGGATGCATGATAGACAGTGATAAAAAAGACAGAACTAAAACATTTATTCTGTTTATTCAATATTTTAAACTGAGACTAAATATATCTACATAGTTCTGATAGTGATAAGGTAGAGAACGCAGATAATTCTCCAATCTATATCCGTATTTTCCACTGGAAAATACAGATGCGGATGAAAGATTGTCCCCCTGTGATGACGTGCAGAAATGGGGAACAAGGGAACATGGACTTTATTGGTTGAAAAACTGCTGACGACCATGGGTGAGATCAAAGGTAATAAAAGCCAGCTTCTGGGCTAGGATCCAAATGAATTCATCAAAAAGTAAAACTGACTTGAGAGACCCTTAGGCAATAGCCCTCCAGACGGCACAGGGTATACCAGTTATCCCGGAGACAGCGGGTGAACAACCATGGAGATAGCTCCGCAAACCCCCCACCACAGCTCTGCCTAGCCTGTAGCTCCCAGGCAGCCTGGGAGTGAGCAGTATGTTCAGGTGCACACACGAGGGTGCCGTTCAGAATTGATGAGTCACATCTGCTCAAACCTGGTTACAACAGCCTTTTCCTCACCTTTGTAAATAGGGGCGCTGACACTTGCATCATAGCGAAGTGTGAAAATGACTGATAACAGGCAGGCCCTCATCATTCACCCCCAGGACTGAAAAGGGGCTGCACAGAGCAACCAGCCCAGCATTTCTGCAAGTGTTAGGTGTATCCCACTGGCGGGACAGGGCATGATTTTAGTTGGGACTTTGGTATATTTGCTTTCTACGGCTATAGAAAAAAACGTAAACTTAGTGGCCTAAAACAGCAGAAATGCATTGTCTCATAATTCTGGAGGCTAGAGGTATGAAACCAAGGTGTTGGCAGGGACATGTTCTTTCTTTCTTTCTTTCTTCTTCTTCCTCTTTTTTTTTTTTTTTAAGATTTATTTTTTATTTTGGAGAGAAGGGGAGTGGGGGGAGGAGCAGAGGGAGAAAGAAACTCAAGCAAATTCCATGCTGAGCGTGGAGCCTGATGTGGGACTCGATCTCATGACCCTGATATCACAACCTGAGCTAAAACCAAGAGTGGGAGGCTTACTGACTACACCACTCAGGTGCCCCAGAGCCATGTTCTTTCTTAAGGTTCAAGTGTAGTATCCCTACTTGTCCACCTAGTTGCTGGTGGTAGTCAACAGTCTTCCACTATAGATATATCCCTCCTATCCACCTCCGTTGTCACATGGCATCTTCCCTGTGTATCTGTGTCTGTGTCCAAATGTCTTAGGAAGACATCAGTCATTGGATTAGGGCCCATAATCCAGTGTAACCTCATCTTGATTACATCTGCAAAACCCCTATTTCTTTCTTTCTTTCTTTCTTTTTTTAATTTAGAGAGAGTGGTGGGAGGGGCAGGAGCAGAGGGAGAGGGAGAGGGAGAGAGAAAATCTTAAGCAGGCTCCATGTCAGATGCAGAGCCAAACACAGGGCTCTATCTCACCACACTGAGATCATGACCCAAGCAGAGATCAAGACTCAGATGCTGAACCGACTAAGCCACCCAGACACCCCAAAAATCCTATTTCTAAAGAACATTTCTATTCACAGGCACTGAAAGTTAGGACTTGAACCTGTATCTTTCTGGAAGACAGAGCAACAGGTGAACATTGTTTTCTTACAGTCATGTATTTTAGTGTATAGCAATAAAACATAATTAGCCCATCAAACTCTGATTTCACTGATACGGTATCATTGCTTAAAGTGACTAAGAGAGCTAAAGTTAAAGGAAATGAATCCGTTTAAAGGAATATCTTGAGTAAACACTTTCACAACTGTTGTATGGACATAGCAGAAATTGTGAAAGGTGGTGTGTTAATAGTAGAATGAATGCTGAGTTAGTACCAAGCCCTCTTTTCCGGCTGGGTGGTAAATAAGGAAAACAAATGAGCTTCTTATTTAAAAGCTTCCTGCAAGAAATTTTACAATCTCCCTCACAATTAGCTCATTGTACTGCAAATCTCGTGGCCTAAAAGTTCCTCCTTACATCTTACCCCCATTCATCTTGCTTTCTTTGAAAAGATGACTACTGGATATATCACCTTTCTACTACTCAAAACCAGAAAGTCATCAACATACAGGGAGAGAAACTGTGGGTATGCGGAACTCTCAGTAACTAAGAATTTTCATTGTGCGATGCATGGATTATTGGTTACCTAAAACCGCTCTTTAAAGCTGGTAAAAAGAAGGACCAGATCCTGTGCAGAGAATGACACTTTTTAGCGGTTTTGTGGCTGACTGGTGAGTGAACACCAGATGGGGCCAGCAGTCCTGGGATGGCCCTGCGCAGACCCAGCTCCGGCACAGAGACTTGTAGCCGACCAGGGAGCTGACAGGTTAAGATGTTCCCCCGTTCTTTTCTCCCTGGTTTCTTAGAAAATCCATTCCCATATGCAATGAGCTTGTCTCCCCGGCAAGGCGGAGATCTCTGTGGAGAACATCAACTCAGCAAAGAGGGATAAGGGAGAGGGGACTCCTGTACTTTTTTCTGAACCTCCCTGCCTCTATCCAAGAGACAAAGGATGCTGCTTGGAAAATCATCACATCTTTCCTCCAGGAAAAGGAATAATCCACTCTTGCCAGTCTTAGACAGAACGGCAAACACACCAATAGCGCCATCAAGGACATCTGCCGCACGTTCAGGGTTTCATGTCTCGGGAACTTTCAGGAGAGCCCAGTGTTCCTTTTTCACCAATATGATCTGTGAACTACGTTGTCGCCCCACTGCTGTATAGAAAACCTGTCCATTACTGAAGCCAAAGAACACTCTGGAAGAGTT